TTTAAAAAATTGCTAATTTTTCAATTTCACTGGATATCTTCTCGATTTTCAAATATTCAGTTTTTAAACGATATTTCCATTAATTAGCCATTTACAAAAAAAAAAAATAGTAATTATTAAAAAAAAAAAAAATTAATGTTGACGGAATCGAACTCCAGCCGTCGGCATGCTAGCCGAGCACGTTACCGATAGGACAACTTGCTCATTATGTAAATATAAATTTCTTAGTGGTATATCTTCAACATATTGAATAATTTTTTTCATTGAAATTCCACAAGATGTGGTTTCCCCCTCCCGTACGTTCTATAGTCGGCTAAATTTCGGTTAAACAAATGAAAAACAAAAAGCATTCATATAATAAGACACTAATTTTTTTAAAAAAAAAACAAAATCATGTAAAAAGGGTAAAAAAATATAATTTAAAATAATTTACATAATTATAAAAAATTCATCATAATACAAAATCAAAAAATTCATTGAGACAGCCTTCACTCATTCCCATGTTCCTCCAAAAATTTCTTCAAAAGTGAATTATTCAGTGGAATGACTAAATATTCAGCTCCTTCGACGTTTCTCCTAGTCTTGACGAGCTTGTGATCGATAAATTCAGTTAGCTGAGCTCTCAGAGCAAAATCAGAGCTGACGAGGAAGCCCTCCCGGGCTCCCCTGTACAGATCCTTGAAGGCCATCCCGGGATAGAGGTTGCTCGTGCTATTTTCTATTTGGTGCTTCACCAAAATAATATAAATGGCTTTAGCATTGGTGGTCAGGGAGGCAAAGACGTTGTGGAGAGATGATAGAGCCAGTGCTCCGCTCTGCTGGACCATGAGTGAACTCTCGTATGAAGTTTCAGCCTCGTAGGGGAGAAGAGTAGTCGCATCCCACCAGTAGAAGTTATACCTGGACCTCTTGACGTTATCCCAGATGAGGGGAGCGTTGATATGGTCGACAGAAGCCAAAAGCCTAACATTCTTCATCGCAGCAAGACGAGACAGTATATCCTGAGCTTTGCTGTTCCTCAGCATGGCGCCATCAATATTATGAACCAACAGATACAATTTATCCTCTGGATTTTTCTTCAGCGTCTCCTCGATAATATTGAAGCACTCATTGGCGTTCGAGGGGGCATCTAGTCCCAGGAGTTCTGTTATTATTCCATCGAGAACGTCTTTGATGGTCAAGCTGGGAAAGAACCCATTAACCACAAGTGTCGGATGATCTGCTATGATTTCCCTGTGGAAGTCGTTTATCAGGGTTCGCTTTGAGCCCAAGCCATGCAGGAGAATGCTGTATCCCTCCTCCATCACATGGCACCACATGGGAAACATTGACCTGTAACCGTTTGTCAACTCCTGGATGCCAGCCTTATGGCTCCTGGATATGTGGTTTTGGTTGCTGAGAAGCTCTTGCAGCTTTTCCTCGTTGAGACGGGGGGTCTTCAAACGGTTCAAAGTGCGATCCGAGGTAAGAACCTTCTCGGCTTGGATCGAAAAATATTCATCGGTCTTCAAATGAAAATCCTTGTACTGAATGTTATTCTTCGATCTCCCTCTTCTACAGGGAGTAATAGGCACAGGAACTTTTCTTTTCAATCCTTTGCGCAGTATCCGTGGAGAGCCATCATCACTATTTTCATTATCCGACAGAGAATTCTCAGCAGTTTCATTCTCTTCGTCTTCTACCTCTTCATCATCATCTTCATCATTCGAGGGAATGTATTCACTATCCTCGGATACGCTCTCACTGTCACTTGGGAAGTAAACCTGTCTTTTCTTGATCTCTGGAATTCTCGTAGAATTTTTCACCAGGATTGATTTGGCTGCAGGTGATTTCGTTACTATGTCATCATCAATTTTATGAAGTAGTACTCGAGCAGCTCGACTCCTTGGCGTCTCAGATCGTGCTGGGGTCCGAGATTGCAAGGCTTTTTGCGCCATCCCGTTTTTTCTCGATGGAGTTTGAAATCCATACATTTTGTTCCCACTCACGTCTTCATCATCGAAAAGCTCCTTGGGCTTTTGAACGTCTTCTTCAATCGTTTCGAGCTCTTTCTCAAGTTCTTCCTTAAGAGCACGGGGATTTGGTTCAGGTTCATCTTCTGTACCACTGGATTTCCTAGGTCTTCCTCTTTTAGTTCCTCCTTGGGATTAATGGCAATTTAATTGAAATCAATCATTTTATCAACATGCAATTATTTATTACCGAGTGTTTTAGCTGGAGTTGTAGGTTGACTCTCATCAGATCCACTGTTTTTACGAGATCTTGTTCTCGTTGAAGGCGTTCTAGTTACTAAGATTATTGAAGAAGAAGTAAATTAGGATATTAATGTCTCACAGCAGAAAAAATGAACTATAGGTTAAGTGATTACTCCAAAACGAAAGATGAGTTTTACCTCTCGACGTTTTGGACGGTGTGAAGGTTTCTTCATTGTCACTCAGGTTGACTTTAGTCCTAATCCTCGTAGAACGACGCAAAGTCTCACTATTATCAGACATTGTTCAGAAACAAACGAAAAATACAAAACAGAGCGTGAATTTAAAAATAGACAGTTAGATACGGCAACAGAGAATAAATGATTTGCTGATTCAGATGGCGCTCCGAATCGGTCAACAATGGCTGTGTGGAAAGCCCATCAAGATATCTTCTCCATTAGTTTAATTGCTGTGAGATTATTTTCCCAGGTCGATCGTGCTCAGGACTGTGTCAGGACGAGTTAATTAATCGTAGATAAACTGATAATGATATGTGAAGTTTCGCGTAATAAATTCTCAGAGTATTGTTGCCACTGAACGAGTGAGTGTATGCATCAGCTGTGATACCTGTTGCTTATTTTTTATCCAATCATAACAATCATCATTGTTATTCCGTAATTGAAATTAGAACGAGTGTGTGAATTTTTTTTTCAAGGCGAGATAAGCGTTTTGTTGACATTTTTTTAATTGGTTTTTTTTTGTTCGTGATTGGGCGAGTGTTGGAAGACTTTGGATGACACATTTTCATTTTTATCTCATGATTCATTCCATTAGTATGCCAAGATTTGAAAAAAGAAAAATCGAATTAAAATGGCCTTGAGACTCTTCTCCTCGCTTTGAAGAAAAATCTTTTGTAACGAGGGTATTGATTTAAAATAATCAATTATCTGTCAATTAATGAATACATCTTATTTAAGGAACCATTCCGAGTTTTGGTAATATTTTTCCTCCATAATCCTTCGAAGCCCTTGATTTTATAAAAATACTGAACAAATAAATTTCCAGAATGTCAGTGGAAAATATCGGTTGATTATTAAAACACCTCTTCCAATTTTCTCAGCGTTGCAAAAATGGATTTGAGCGTAAATACTAGTATGGAGGAAGGGAGAGGTGTCTATAATGGACGATGGGATGCAACAGAACACATGATTTCATCCGAACAACAAAATCTCCCCTTTCCCATGTACTCGATGAAGGACTCAGAGAGTGAAAGCCAACGCCAACAAATTGATTTCGTTTTAGCCTACATGGACAATGGCAATTTAACGCACGCACTGAGGAGAGAGGAGTTTGAGAAGGAACTCAGAGATCAAGGACTCGAGCTAGAGTACGAACAAAATCGACAGCTTGTCTTTATAAAAATTCATGCCCCGAAGGTATTGGTCTTTTTAAAAAAATCTTGACAAAAAATGTATAAATATTTCCTTTCCATTCCAGGAAGTCCTGTGCAGGTTTTGCGAAATAATGAAATTAAAAATGCCAATCAAGGCCCTTTCCAATGAAGAATTGCAGGTCTCGGGCAATGACATTTTTGAAGATGCCAAGTCGTGGTTCATAAGTTTATTCAAATGTGCACAATTGGATCCTTCTAAATTTCCCAAGCGCGAGGCGGTTCTTTTAGCTGAATTTTCGAGAGACAAGGATTATTTGTAAGTAGAAAAGATAATGAATGCATTAAACACCTGTAGAACTCCTTCATAATGTCAATTTTTTTTCATTAACAAGGTTTGACCTAGCGGATGACAATTTTTTTCTTCCGAATGTACGTGCAATGATTGTAGATTTTATTTTGGAAAGACAATCCGAGGGAATTCAGCGGCTAGTTGTCAATGGTGTCTATTCCGCTGCATATCCATTGCATGATGTTAGTAGGCCAGAACGTAATTTTCGGTGCAAAAAGTTGTTTCATTGGTCTTTCCACAAGTGATTTAACAATTGATTGTAATTCATTTAGGGGACATATAAGCAAGCAGGAACAACTCGAGCATTATTATATAACGAATGGGCTAGTACGAGGAAGTGGGTGAAGCTGCAGCCACTGGACACTATTCAGGAATACTTTGGGGTGAATGTTGCGCTGTACTTTGCTTGGCTCGGATTTTACACTTATATGCTGATACCTGCAAGTATAGCAGGGTTGTTGTGTTTCTTCTATGGATTGATAACTCTCAATTCAAATGAGATAGGTAAAGACGCCTGCTCTCCCTGGGCAGACACAATAATAATGTGCCCCCAGTGTGACAGAAATTGTGATTACTGGCGTCTTAACACTACTTGTATACTCACAAAAATGACTCTTCTCTTTGATACTCCAGCAACTGTAGTTTTCGCAGTGTTCATGTCATTTTGGTCAGTTCTTTATCTGGAGCTATGGCGTCGAAAATCGGAGCAATTGAGTTATCACTGGGGGCTCGTAGGGTGGGATCAAGGCGCAGAACACCCTCGACCCCAGTATCTCTCTATGATTCAAAAAGCCGGGCTCTTGAATTTTAAAATAAAAAATAAACTTAATCCAGTGACTCGGGAAACAGAGCCCCATGTGAGTTTCTGGAGCGTTCGAGTCCCTGCCACAATGCTGAGCTTTTCTGTGGTAATTCTACTGGTGCTTGTCGCTGTTGCTGCTGTCTTCGCTGTTGTTCTCTACAGAATGTCAATGATAACGTCCAATTCATTGTTTGGAAAGGAGATGGACAGTAACCAGTACAAGACATTCGCTCTTCCCAGTGTGGCAGCAGCTATCAATCTTGCTTGCATTCTAGTTTTGAATTATTTCTATGACTGGCTCGCAGTCTACCTCACAGAAATGGAGATGCTGAGAACTCAACCGGAGTTTGATGACAGTTTAACTTTAAAAGTTTATGTCTTCCAATTTGTCAATTATTACGCATCAATTTTCTATGTGGCGTTCTTAAAGGGCAAGTTCCCTGGATATCCAAAGAAGTACAATAGAATACTCGGATTCAGACAAGAGGAATGTGCTCCTGGAGGATGTCTAATGGAGCTTAGTATTCAATTAGCAATTATTATGGTGGGGAAGCAAGCTGTTGCAACGGCTTTAGAGATGATCCTGCCAATTTTATTCAAGTGGTGGGCATTGTTCAGAATTCACACCGGATTGAAGCAAAAAGATCCGATTCCATCAAGAAGCCAGTGGATCAGGGATTTTAAATTGCTGGACTGGAGTCCTAGAGGACTCTATGATGAATATCTGGAGATGGTCATTCAGTTTGGCTTTATTACAATTTTTGTCGTGGCTTTTCCACTCGCTCCACTCTTTGCACTGGCCAATAATGTCCTGGAAATGAGACTCGATGCTACCAAATTTCTCAGACATTACAGGAGACCTGTGCCGAGAAGGGCAAAAGATATTGGCATTTGGAAGCAGATTCTTGATGCTTTGGCGAGAATTAGTGTGACAACCAATGCATTTATCATTGCTTTTTCCTCCAATTTAATTCCTCGTCTCGTCTATATGAAAGCAGTGAGCCCAGACAACTCGGATGTAGGATTTTTGAATCACAGCCTGGCTTATTTCAACACCAGAGATTTTCAAGAAAATACTGCACCGCTCTACAGTACCTTTGGCAACATATCAGAGTGTAGATATCCGGAATACAGAAATCCCCCAGATCATCCAGAACTGCCCTATAAGCGACCGAGTGTTTACTGGCGCATCCTGGCAGCGAGACTTATTTTTGTTGTTGTTTTTCAGAGTGTTGTTGGATTATTCACAATGTCAGTGCAATGGTGTTTATCCGGTGTACCCAGAAAATTGCGCGATCGAATTAAACGGGAGGCTTATCTCACAGAAGAAATAATAATAAAGCGTGAAGCTGAGAGAGCAAGGGAGAGGGCACGATTATTTGCCAATGCAAGTCGTTTCGCCAATAACGTTGGGGATCATTTGCGCCGACGAACAACTAATGAATCGACAACAATCAACGAAGAAAAAAATTTTGTCTGATGAGATTTTCTTTCATTTCACGACAGATGTTGCATAATGAGATTTTTTTATTACAAAACAATGAGGAATTGAATTTTTAACGGGAGCGTTGATATTTTTTGTGACATTTTTTATAGTTTTACATCAATTGTTACTGAAGATTTATTGCAATTGTGGTGTTAATGAGGAGAGAAAATAACTATCAATTTTTTCAACAGTGGCAATTATTTTTTATGTTTTCCTTATTGATTCGGCTAACGTAGAGATTTGGAGGACTCCACGACAGTGTTATATATGAAGAAGAAAATAAAAATTGATTGGTATTCATTTATAAACAAATATAGAGTTAGAGGTCAGATAAAAATCCTACAAATACGCGAAAGCACTCTATAATTATCAGTCATCAGGATATAAATAAAAGAGTAAATCATTTATTAGTCACAGCCATCGGTAAGCTTTCAATTATAAGTCATGTATTCGTTATGATAATAAGCAATTGTTAACCCATTGCGTAACATATTGTTATCCTCCTCAGGAGGCATGCAATTCCAGGCGGTCGGGCAAAAATTTGTCTATCGTTGGCATCGAGTTAGCGACGATTTCGCGGAGAAAACACCATACCATAAAATAGCTGATCCTACAGTTACAAGGAAAGGTGATTTAAAATTTGCCATAATTTCTCTATGGCTCCAGGGGAAATTCAGAAGACACTGTTGGCGATCGGAGGAGAGTTCTTGAGACCTAAATACCAGTATCGTAGATGGAAATATTGTTGCAATTGGAAACTGTAAAATACTGAAGGTAGAACATTGAGATCTGGTAATTATGGAATTATCGCGTCAGTGAGAGAATCTAAAGGGAAACGTCAACCAATGTTCTCCTGACATTTTCTGATCGCATCGTATAATTAACGCAAGGATTTCGTGCGAGTTGGTAGATTTTTCTTATAACGTGTATTCAAGTTCAGATATGCTAGATAAATTTGACGTACCCGTGTGCACATCAAAGGCGGCTCGGCACTCTGGTAAGTCATGATCAATTGAGGCCTCTTGATAGCATGTCTCCCCCCACACTACCTTGCGAAATGTCCACTTTATTGACTTGTCCAGTTTTATCTCAAAGAGAACGTCCTCGAGGACGAGCTCAATGTTTCCGGAATGTAATTGACGGTGCGAAACGCGACATGATGGAGATGTTTTTCATGGGCCAGGTTGACTCTGTTAATCGAGCAACTTCAATTGAGTGATAACATATTTGAGAAGGTATTTTCATTGAAGATGATAAAAATGTAATTCTTCGGGATTTTCTAGTATCACACGTGTGTTGATTTAATGATTTGAGTTAAAATTAATATATGACGTGAAATAGTTGTATCGAACGAAAGTGGAGATTGAAGATGAAAAAGTGATTGACTAATGGGAATGTAGGGCAATCGAGAGCCGTGGAGTGCACAGGAAAAGCGGCGTCACAGCGTCTGATGGAACCACGAGAGTGAGACGAACGTGTGAGAAAGACCGAGAGTTGACGTGAAGCTTCGTGAAACCCGTAGGACCTGATGGAAAAACTGCGTATCACCGTGCAATTGCACATACGTCGTCCTTACCTTCTAAATTATACAGGTGAACCCTTCAATTTCTTTTCATTTCAATCACTGGTGCATTATCAACGACACGAATAACGACATTCTTTTGCTCTTTCAAAACATCGAACTCCAGGGGGCTACACAAATTCATTGATTTTATTTTTCTTTTGAAAATTGCACTCTTGATCAAATGTCAGGGGAAAATTTTAATAAACGAAGAAAAATTCATTTTGTCCACTGATTTAGCCAGGAGCACAAAAAATATTTAATCTCGGTCATTGTCGAATTGAAGGCAACCCTGGAGGGCAATTACCACCAGCCCCACTAATGCGGAAGTTTACGAATGACTTATCATTTTTTAAACATATATTTCATTTAAATTTTTTCACCTTAATAAATATTAATTTGCGTCCTTTGGTAGCATCAAAGGTTACGCAGATACCATCATCGAAAGGATCGCAAATCGTTTGTTATTTATTACAGGTAATTAACGGGTAATAACTAGTAGTAATAAGTCAATTGTATGGGGAAGGATTAGAAGAAAATGCGGTGGAGGTTGCAAAAAGTAGACGCCAAGTGTCGGTCCAGTGACACACAAGCTTCGTACGCCTACTATACAAAACCAGATCTAGAGCGTTGATCGAGTTTTGTGTTTCTTTTGCTTCTTGATAGATCCCCTTTTCCATAATTTATTTCCTAATTCTTTCCAGTAAACCAAGTTTCTTCTTTAGTAATCCAGAGAGATTAATACAATTTCTCACGATTAATCAATAAATCCTTCCAATAATCTTTTAAAATTTTCAAAATTTTCTCTTTCAATTTCACAAGAATCATAAATTGTCATAGGAGATAACAATTAATGGGTGAAAATGGAGATGTGGAAATGGAAGAAATGGGGGATAGAGGAAAATTTAAAGATTCAAAAGGATTGGAAAGACGGGTGGGGGAGAAAGACATGGCGACTGGAAAGTAAGCGTTGGCGAGTGAGTGAGGTACACACACTGGTATTAAAGCCCAAGGGGGGCTCCAAGTACACTGGCAACTCAACTGACTTACGCCTAGCCCGTCCACCGTCACATACCGTTCACGACGATCGTTCACGACAGATCGATAAAGGACCTGCAAACCTTCTCTTACATGTGTCCCAAGTGTCTCCATCTCACCCCACCCAACTTCACAACAATCAGTCAAATAAACGGTTTTCACCGGTGTGAACGCATTAGTTGGTCCGGCACTTGGTCGTGAGTGTTTGGGATTCAGTGGCCTTTGGGATTTTTTTTTTTTTATTGGTTTTTTCATCATCCAAGCCAACATGGATGTGGGCTAATGGATTTTTGAGTCGACCTCTGTGACGAGTCGGAGGGGACCGAGAATCTTCTTCAAAAACAGACGAATGTTTACACGGAAATTTTCCAGAAGGTCATCCTGGAGATCCTTGGGCTGTAGTTAAAGTGCGAGTGTGAGTGTTCTCGTGTGTCCTTCGACGATGAGAAATTGAGGGAAAAGAGTGTACTGAACTTGAAAAAAAATCCAATAACTCGGGGTTATAAACCCTTAATCGATGAAGGGAGTGAACTGACCTTGCAGTTAGTACTCACATGTCCTCGATGAGTCGGTGAACCTCTGATCCATGACAAACCGTTGGGCTATAGCCTTGAGTGAGTCCTCGAGACGACCGAACAGCTTCCTGGCAAATTTCTCCGAATCGAAGATTTAATTCGTCGATTAATCCGCCTTAAATCATCGAATTCGTGGGCCCTATTCATACTGATTTAATGAATTGTATCTGTTTTCTGGGATTATTGAACTTTGGTGTAGAGTTTAGAAAGCGAGTTGGGTGCCTCATTAGCGCGCACTCATGGTCCAACCGAGGATCTACGGAGGTGCCAACATCGTACGCTTTTCACTCACAGATTTCTCCGCTCCACGTGCCTAGAACCCTTCCCTAACTCTCATTATTTACATCGAATTGTCATTAACACTTTTCAGTATTTGTCCTTGGCGAAATTTAGGGGATAAAAGTGCGCGGGTTTATGGTTGGGACACGGTAACTGGAAGAAGTTTAGCAACATAAGTTGAATGTCGAAGAGAAAAAAAATATTTTTCGACTTGCGCTTTCACGAGACAAGTGATTTCCTCATTGGGACATGAAGGATTAAAATGGGTTGATGTGTAGCAGAAACTTTATCCAGAACTTTTTCAGTGGTGACTGTTGTGTGGCAATTTTTTATAAATTGGAGAATACAGGTGCATTTGTGTGATTTGAAGATTTTTAGTGAATTGTCGAATTATTTGAATCAGTGTGACATCGACAACGGAAGATGCTCAACTGCACTGATCTTGAGTGCATCCTGCACAATCATCACTATTACGCTCATCTGCATCAGGGACAGTCAAATCAGCCCGTGGAGCATGGTGAGTTTTTCAATAATTTTATCCTATGCATTTTTAGAAGATTTACTTTGAGACTTTTTCCTCGTTATTCAAGAATTGTTGAAGAAATAATTATGTAAAGAGAATGTAATTGGCACTTTAACACATGGCGATTCTAGAGATTGTTCCATTAGGGCTGTGATCATAATTAACTTTTTCCACAATGAAAAACATTGAAATTGTTTGGTATGAAATAACATCGATTTCATTCGATTAGTACCGATAATTCAGAGTTGAGACAAATCCCTTTCATAATAATTACTGGTATGACTTCTCTCAATTTTCTCGATGTATGTGAAAAAACATTTTCGCAACCTGCTCGAGTGGATTGTATATTCCATTCACGCTCCTCCCGGCCGTTTTTATCCTCCACTTCGGTTGCTGGAATGACCTGAATTCCAAGAACACCATTTTCTGCTTCCGCAGAAGGTAATTTTCAAAAAATCCACCGTGTAATATTCATTAGAGTGGTGTGGCTAGTGTTGATTTCGCGCGCTTCATTTTTTTTGTGGTGCTGCATACTTTATTAGTCGATGGTCGATGGTCGATGATACCTCGTGCAATGGGTGCCTTGAACCTAAGTCATTAAACCATAACTACCCCAGTAATGTTGATTGGCTTACCCTCAGAGTCGTGGACATTGCGTCACATTGGTAATAAACCGTTCCAGTTCACGTATCAGTGAATTTTCTAGACTTACTAACTACTATCTATTGATTGCAGTCAACTTGGAGTGTAACATTTGTTAACTCCATTCAATATTATCACCTATTAATTTCCCACAGTCAGTAAAAGCCCGGAGATGACTTTCAAATATTCAGAAACATTTACATTTAATTCCTCAAGATTTTATCAGACGGGTAAAAATCATTTACCTTCTAATCCTATATACAGAAGATAATCGTCGTTGCTTGCGCGATCGATAATCAATAATATCGTTGCCAAGTTATTCACTTCTTCTACGGTGAGAAAAAGATGATGAATTCAGAAATAAAAATTATCAAAAATTTCGGAATCATTTATAACTGTAATTCCATTGCTCTCTTCGTATTTTATGTATTATCTGAAATTGACATTTATCTGTATATTTGATGTAAGCATAACCTGACACGTGTGACCTGATGTGCCTTCCAATCCGGTTTTCGCCTAGTGCATACCAATGCGGGCTGCTCTGCATCGTAATTTGGGTACCGTTTGTTTACGCCTCTTCTTCACGACTCATAGCAGGAGATTAGTCTAATGGCTTTTCTCTACTGACATTTCGGGAATCCGGCATTTTACTCATTTTTGGTATAAAGTGATTGATGACTGATGAGGCGGTGTAAATTCAGAATTTTTTCTATTGGTATGAGGGAGGCTTTGGGAATTTAACGTGGTAATTAGTTTCTTCATCGCGTATTAGAAGCAGGTAGCACTTACGTGAGATTTACCAGTCATTTGCTTGATGAAATAATGCCGATTTTGTGTCTAAATGTTGTAATGCAATTTTCCGTAATTTTGAAACATCCCAGACACCTTTATTTAGCAATAAATGTCCTACATGCATACACCAAGTAGCCCCTGGTGACAGGTCGAGTCTGGGTGGATTATTCAATCGGCTGTTCCCCGGTAATCGACGCCCCGGAGCGAAATTCTTGAAATAAAACGAGTGCTGCAGGATTTTTTTATTATTATTATTTTTTTTAATCACAATGACTGGTTTTGTTACTCGATGTGGACCTTGATCCTGTTGGGCTCTCTTAACTTCGTAATTGGATTTTAATTTTTGTCTTAATGAATACAAAGCTGAGAATAAAGACTCATTGATTGGAGTGACTCGTTCACAAAGTCTTTAGTCATCTAATTGCTGTCTTTTTCGTCACTAACTAGATTCTTCGATTTTTTATTATTGATTAAGTTTAAAGTTTCCATTTTTTGCTATTTTTAGATTGACAATAAAGCACAATAAAATCTGACAAGCTTCCGCTCAGCGTAATTTTGCATGTGTCATGGTAAACGGGTCCATAAAATCCATATAAGTAATAAAACTATGTAAAAATTCCAGTTGACGCCTCGCCTCGATCGACAATCTGGGTTAATGCGTTCTTCGACTTAATCCTGATCCTTGTTCTTCTCATATTATTTATCTTCCTGTTGTGCATTTGCATACAAACAATCGCATTCATTTTACACTAAAAAAAAATACGAAATAATATGTAGTATATGATAGGGATGAACAGAATTGAATAACATTTAAGTGGACTTGCATTAGTGGCTAGAGAGCACATTGGAATTGAATCAAGTAATGGATGCTGCGGTAGATAGTTGCGATCTTGTCATTCATATGTGGAAGTCAAACAATTTCAACTGGATTGACCCTGGTGAAACAGGCTGCGTGACCCTGGCCATCTCTCCAATTTATCAGGCCAACTGGTGGGCCTCGTGTCACTAAATTAAAAAATTTATTTACCAGACTACCTCGAGGCCTTCCCCCATTGTTTATCGTTATTGATGTACAATGGACAATTCAATATTTCATCACTCAATTTACCTGCCCATTACATAATCACGAGAATTTTCACGCGACGCAGTTAAGGAAACGTTATCTGTTCGTTACGGAATTATAAATTAAATGAAAAAATTTGCATGGAACAAGTCGGAAGAAAGGAAATTCGAATGGAAGGGGAAGGAGGTAGTGATGGCGTAATTAGCTAAACGCCAGTGTAATTTTAATACAACCAGGAAGCCAAGTCATGCCAGACCTGCCAGACTCTTCGTCTTCCCTGCTGCGTCTCTTTACTACCTTCTGTGTGGGCTATCTGCCTCGCGAAAATTCTCGGAGTATCTGCTGGCAGTTTTCGTGATAAAAAAAAAACCCTCCTAGTGTTTATTTGCATCGTGATGTATCTTATTGTTGTTGAAGGGCGTTGGCTGGTGAGCCGCGCAAGATATCTCGGAAAGCTTCCAAGAGAAAGTTCCGGAGATTGAATAACGCCAAAAGATATAGAGATTCCTTCATCCAACTCAATTCTAGTGTCCCCAGATAATATTTTTATTTTTTTTTTCCTTCTTCGGGCGAGAAACATCAATGACCAAGGACCTTTCATTCATTTCAATACCAGAATTTATTCCCCTCATTCAAATTGGCTGAATCATTATTTATATTGAGTATTATCTTCTCTGAAATATGCATTTCGAGTCATCAAAATCAATTCGAGGGATTTCTTCTGGAATTTTTCGGCAGAGACAAGTGTATGCATGAGTAAAGCTCATTTACGTATGCAAGTCATGATCAGTTATTGTAATTATCATGAAAATGTTAAAAATAAGGGGAATTAGGTATGACAGGGGCGTCTGGCCTTTAGCATTGGTCTCTTCATCATCGTCACATCGATTTGAGGGTCGTTCTCGGTTCGTAGCAATTATTTGTCACTCGGCACTGACGCACTGAGTCCCGTCGGCTCATTTGCTTTAACTATACATTTCTCCTTGTACGCGTCTTGACTCGGAAGAGACGAATATTCCCCGACTTCCACTTCATTGATAAGCAATGTGAGGTGTCACCTTGGCACCTGGTTGCGTGCATTCACCGTATTCGTATTATTTCTATTGTCATGCATTATTTCTTCTCTATCGTCTTCAATTTACTTCCGGCTGTGGTTCAGATGGTTTTGAATATACTGTCGGTTTTTCGGTTTTCAAAGCAATAATTCCACTCTTTGAATTTATTTTTCCTATAGAAAAGATCCGAGAGACAATCGGACAATCACACGTTTGATAACCTTCACGTGACTTGCCACCCCTCCTTGGGCAATTGCCAGATGTAATTCACTTTGCGAATGTGAAAATTACATGTCACTATAACGGGTGAACCCGTGTGAATCGATGCGGGCAAAATATTTTTCACTAACCCATAGCATATGCTTATTCACCAAGTTTTTTCCCAACTACTGTCCAGTCACTTGATAATTATTTTTTGCGACTATGAAAAATTTTTCACGAGCCAATGATTTCGTATTGTGATTGAAATTGAAACACTGGGAGACGGTGGCAATATCAAAGTCAAATGCGTTTTTTTCTCAAATTATTTTTTCTTTCCATGAATTAATGGCAAGTTTATTTGATATTTGACTATTGATATTTGAAATATAGGAGAGATGAATGATGCAGGATATGTCACCCGTTGGACTGTCAATTTGACTCCTCGTTAACGACAGGCACACCGTTGCTCATTGAGACCAATCGAGGCAATATAACACGTGTTTAGAGGAAAAAAGAGGGGTGGGAGCGCGTGTCATATTCGTATTTTATTAGTCCTTCTGACTTTGGCGTATATATTGTTAAACCCCTTCTTAATGCCCCAAACAGTCCCAATAGATTTTAATCAAAAGTTGAATATTATTATGATTATTATTATTATTATTGTGAGTGTATAGTAGAATGGGCGTGATTAATTGGATTGGACGTGGCGAAAGAGTGAATGATTGGCGGTCGGTGCCAATGATGTGAATAGTTTTAGCAAAAAAAAAAGTGATGCAATGGATAATGCATAGGTAACCTAGAGGTAATGAGAAGTTGGACGGTGCAAAAGTGAACAACCGTCCTTGACATGATGATGTGTATGCAGGCGCGAAGGTGCGAAGGCGCGAAGGCGCGAAGGCGCGAAGGCGCGCGCCTTCGAAATGAATGACAAACGGACGATTTGTCAGTAGCCTCGAGTACTTGCGTACACAATGTACATAGGGAGTCACGCGTTCTCAGACGTTCTCAAAGATTTGTCATGGCATCACGTGTATTACCCCATTGGCATTCGCTATTTCAAGTATGCCGATTTCAAGTCGTCAATAACGTAATTTGGTTTTTCCCACTGGCGCAAAAAGAAAAATGGTAAAATCATGGAAAAAAATAGAAGCGATGTAGAAGGCAGGAAGAAGGATAATTCATTAATTATAATTATCGGTAGGTAGGAATGGGGGAGCATTCCGTATACTTCAACTCTACAT